TCTTCCGAACCCCCCGAACCCCCCCTGGCTACGGGCATGCGAATATAATAGTATCTTTGACTGTACGTAAAACCGGGCATGATTTTGCAAATATACAACACTCTATTAATAGTAAAGGGGGTTTCAGTCTCAATATCTGCTTGGAGAATTTGCTTATTTATTCATTTAGCGCAATAAACCGATGTAAGTTACTTTTTGCATCCTTTGGGGCAGTTAAAACGACTTTATTGAACTTTACCTTACCCGAAGTTGATGAGCTTATCGATCATATATCGCGCGCAGGGGAACCCCTCACGTGAATGGGCAATTTTTTAACCAATCAGCGCGCGCTGTTCACGTGAACACGCACCGGCCGGGTATTACAAGCTGGGCAGGTTCAAATCTCATTTAGGGGCGACGTTCTTTAAATATTTTTAATTGTTGCATCTGAATATGAGTGTCATGCAAATTACTAAATCAATTATAAGAAATAGTATATATTGATTAGATTAAATATAAATGTTTGACGAAAATGTACAATTTAGTCCTGGTTATTTTCACTTACGTGACCTTACATGTCCTTACTTTTGGTACGTCCCAAACATCGACATTGGGGCATTCTATTTCAATATGGCACCTCCCGACGAGGTGAATATGCGTCGGATTTGGTGAAAATATTCCGGGATAACTTGAGTTTAACCTTGCATTGGCTGCTGCCTGCCTTCTCCGATTGACCATAGCTTTACGGATCTGTTTGTGGTGTTACTGAGGCTTGGTTGTGGGGGCCAAAATGTCGAAAACAGCCACGTGTGAAAGTGTTCTGGTAACAAATTTCTTTGCATGTGTGAACTAACTTGCCCTCTTTTTTTTTGTTCACTGCATGTTGCTTGATTATTTCACTACTAAGCACGACGCCAAAATATGATCTGCTTTATTTTTGTAAATTTTGCGGTGTTTTGGTGTGTTTCAGGGCTTGCCGGTGCTGAAGAAGGCCGACGTAGAAGACTTACGGAGTGTCTTTCTGAAGGTATGTCCTCTTGTGTGTCCGCTTTGGAATGGTTGACATGTCGACCCGGAAACTGTGTTCTCTAGGTCATCTACAAAACCGGAAGTAAAATGTACTTTGTCTAACCAAGGACATTGGTGTAACCTTAACATTTTGATGACCCTTTGAAACTCTGCAGAGCTGTATTTTGTAGCTAAACGTGTGAGATTTAAATCTTCTTTCTTTGTGCAAGATGTGATCAGTGTGTTTTGTTGTGGTGCCCCTCCCCCTTTTCGCATTCCTCACCAAGGGCAGGACCCGTCTATTTTAACATCAGGAAAAACACACTAAATGTTGTTATTCAACCCTACATTTGTTTAGTATTCATCTAAACCAAGCTGAGGTTTGATTTTGTTAATCTCCAAGCAGATCTTTTGATAGCTGCAAGACAACTACTAGTCAAATTTGCAAGACAGTATCATTGTCTGTATCCAATACTGGTAAAAAGAAGATACCACTGCATACATTATAAAATAAAATCTGATGAAAATGCCTAAAATACGTCAAAATAAGACAAAGTCTAAACCTGACTGCATGAAGAGTATGGTTTTGTAGCATTTCAAAGAGATAAAAATCATTGTAAATGTACAACCTAGAAGAAAAATCATGGATCATTAGGGTGGTACTAGTAATAGGCTACACCAATACGAGTCAGGTGTGTAATTACATGCATAGATATTGCAAGGTGTTAAAATTGGGCAAGATTTAGAAATTATCTGTATCTGTATAGCCGGTATAACCGCCTTTCGGCATAACACACCAGCTCAACTTACAGATCTACCCTGGTGGAAAATTGCAATTGGCCCCCATTTTCAAATTTCCAAGTAGCAAAATTGAAATACGTACATGTACCTTACAAATTTCATCCAAGTAACATGGCATTGTTTGTCCCAAGCCCTTTTTGTAGGTTGACTAAAACAGTAGGATATGTGGGTATATTTTCTTTAGAAAACAACTTGGGAAGGTTCTTCTTGTATAATTTCTTTATTCCGTATAACTTACTTCTCACTCAACAGGCAATGTTTGTAAGCCAATTCAGTCCTTACAATACATGTACTTAGATTGTAATTTGTTGGAACGTTGCCAGGTATATCTTGATATGCCTTCAGTGGCAATGCACAGTGTTTTGCTTAGAATTATCTTTAAAAGTTTGCGTGATGTTCAACTAAAGATGACGATTCAGTAACTGAAATTTATCATTATGAACTTTCAAAAAGTTTTCGGTATCTTCCGTAGCAACTATGGTTTCAACAGGAAATTCTTGGGGATTTAGGACTACCTGTTTGATAACTGTATGATGTAATGTCTGGTCAAAGGTCAATAATCAGCTAACATAACCTTTGTACAGACTTTATGTAAGGACTATACCATTGAAGAATTTTAGGCATGTTTTGCTAGGAAGATTTTGAAAAGTTTAACATTGGCATAGTATGATCAAAAGCAATCAATTACACTAAAAGATAGCTTCAGCCTAGAACTTATGTAGATAGAACTATTACAGCTACTTGTGTCTTGGAAGAATGTTCCTTCAAATTGCAGGTAAACTTCAAGGCAATTTGCAAAGATGTTTGATTTTAAGGAAGACTTTTTCAGTCCTACATTTTGCAAAGCATTTAGCCTTGGTTTGATTACTTAATAGGGATTCTGAATTATTAAACAGCAATTTTAACAGATCAATACTCATCGTCATAGTGACAATAAATCGTAAAATAAAGATTATTTCTAGGCTGTCAGTTTCAAGGACAGAATATATTGAGAATCTGAAAACTTGAATCTTTTAAGATATTGTCAGTCACTTATATTACTGCAGTGTTCAAACAGAACAGCAGAGGGCAATGTGTTACATTGTGATACAGCCTATCTTACAAGTCCAGCTTACCTATATCAGTTTATGTGCCTTGGGGTAATAACTTCAAGTAGTGTAATACTTGTTTCATTATAAGTCACAAGACTTGTACTTATCTTACTAACATATTCTGCGTGATAAATTTGATAGAAAAACTTACTGAAAAATTACACTGGTTTTCGGTTAATAAAATTTTATGAAAGAAACCAATCTTACAAGTTACACTTATGTATTTTGTAAAATAATATAACGTATAACACTGAAGTGAGTGATAACGACAACTGTTGTTTGAAACCTGTACGCCTGACTGTTGCGAGGGAAAGGCTAGCTCCTTGGCTAGGGCCAACCTGCCACTGAGGAAATTTAACCACAGCCTCACAATTTCTTCTCAGGGTCTAACTGGAACGTTAACTCTTTTTTTTCCAGTATGCCACAGTTGAGAAGGATGGGGAACATTACATGACCCCCCGGGACTTTGTCATCAAGTACCTGGGGATAGAGAAAGAAGATGCCGACCAGACAACTCTCAACTTACTGGCAGGGGTCGTCGACGAAACCAAAGATGGGTCAGTTATTAATTTATTACATTTCTTATTTTGCCACCACCTCAAATTACACAGAATGAACCCATACTCATAGCAGGGGTTTTTCTAAACTGGGGAACAAGGGCGCTGCGCCCTCATGTAACAAGCTAGCGCCCTCATATCAATTTTCAGATTGAAGCCTAGGTCTTTTTCAAAATTATCTTTTTCCAGTAAAAATACAAAAACAACACCACATAACAATGTATTCTAGCATTACAAACTATGTTACTCTCATGAAAATTCCAAAATCTTTCCACAAACATGAAAATTTAGCTCTAGTAGTACAAGTGTGAATGGAGTAAACATAGTTCATTGAGAACTTGCCCAAAGACTTACAAGTAAGCCTCCTTCATTTGCATACTATAGAACAGGCTCTGAAGTGAAACATGAGACCTGAGTTTGTAGCAGCTTGGATGAATGTGTTGCAATGTTTGCCATGTGAAAGGTTTGAGCTTGTGGCAAACCCAATGTTGTTATCTGGAGCTACTAGTAACAGTGTAAGTGTATAAAGGGTGATTTGCACATTGTGTGTACTGTTGATTGTACTTATATTTTATAAAGGAAATATGCAATGCATGAATAGAAATTTAGGAAAGATATTGACAAAAAAACATTGAATTATTTTAGTCTAACTATTCCTTCTCCTATTACATACATTATTAGTACTGGAAATTTGTATTGAGCATTGTATCTAGCATATTGTAAATTTTGTGCAAGCTAAAATAGCCTTTGAAGGTGTTGTAAAATCCAAGTAAACAGACCTTTTTCACAATAATAGTTGTTTATTTTCAAAGAAACATACAATGAAAGAGTTCAAATTTTCCCCCTCAAGTAGCCTCAAACTGTCCCATTTCAACTTCAAATTTTCAAAGGCTCCACATGGCATGGCG